ACATAGTATTCCTCACACTGGGATTCCAAAACTGGCATGTCAGAATCCATTAGAATCCCCTATGGGACTGTACATCACAATTTGCTATTAGTTGCGGCACTCAGTTTCATTCCCAATTGGAATTACGTAAAAATAAGCAAATTAAGCAGTAAAACCTTCTAGCTGGAGCAGGGGACTGCGAGTCAGGAATTCCTGCATCCTAGCTTTGACATTTCTCCTTTCTCAGTCTTAGTTTCCCCAACTGTAAAAGGAGGGTGAAAATCACAATGATTATTTATTGTTTCCCCTGCTGTATCATGTTGAGGCTGCCAAAGAAAGATCAGGCCCTCATTGTACTATGTGATGTACATGCATGTAGTAAAAATATGGTCCTTGTCCCAAATTATGTATGCTGACCACATTGGGCTGAAGGTAAGAATTAAACTCCTCTTTGTGAAATGCTTTCAAACAATGAAGTGCAAGTGAAGTGTTATTGCAGGCCTGTAGGCGGGGGCGGGGTGTGTGTGCGAAGGGTGCGAAAGCACCTCCCATGGTCCTTCATGGTTCCCCATGGGGCTGATTATAGCACTTTGCTCCAGTCTCCCTCCCCCGTGCTTTGGCCAGCTGGGGCAAAATGTGGGTGGTGCACTACCAAAGCCCCCCCATGCTTCGACCGACCAAGGGAAGACTGGGTCTGATCCCCCCCCCCTTCCCCAAGAGCAAGGCCAGAAGGTGGGGCTGGGCCTCGCTCCTGGGGAAAGGGGGTGGGAAATCAGTCCCAGCCTTCCCCTGTCCAGCTGGAGCATACTTACTTGGGGGACTATGGTGGAGGGGGTGTTCACAAAAAAAGCGCACACACACAGAAATTCCTCAGTATGGGCCTGTATTGTTTAATGTGAAATGACTGGGACCAGATTCCTAGATCACTGCTTGTCCAACAGCCCCTATAGCACCAGAGAGCTATAATCAGAGACTCTGTGAGCTTGGGAAAACAGGAATCTGAGCCCCACCATACATATACAAGGTTTGTGGATGCAGGAGGTGAAAACAAAAGAGTTAGGCTGTGAGAGAGGCTCCCTCATATCTTCCTGCACTGGAGATCTTTAACTAGGACAAGGGAGATGGACAGGGATTTACCCTCCCTGAATTTCCCCAACACCCCCCCAATATTGTGAACTATGGTGCCATACAGCCTACCTTCACCCTCATGGTCTCACCCCTCATCGGTCCTGACACCCTTCCCCCTTGTGAATTTGAACACCCTCCCCCCCATTTCAATTCCTGAGGAGTCTACTGTGGAGAGGGGAAATAGAACACGCTTTTTCACTCAGTCTGAGTATTTAAAATGCCCCTATGCTTCCTCATTCCCTGTGCTCTGCCAGCGTGCCTGTCCCGCCTCTCCTTTTACTTTCTTCCATTCCATCTTCATCCCTGGGATGTTCTCCTTCACCTGTTGTTCCACACTCACTTCTCCCAGCACCTTAGATCTGACTTTTCCTGCAGAGCTCCCAAGCGTTGCTAGCCCTTTGAGCCATCACCTTAAAGAAAGGCCCTAAAAGGAGTAGGAGAACAAATGGTGGGAAATCTGATGCTTTAAATAAACTGACATAGAAAATACACTAGGACACCTGAAGGTAGGTTTGATTTTTCACTTACTGGAGACAGGGACCATGTTTTCTGCTGGGTCTCATACAGTACTAAGCACATTGTCATCACTTGACTAATAATGAATAATAATAAGTGTATTGTGGCAGTGTCAGGATTGTAGCCTCATTGAGTTCAGCACTGTAAAAATAATAACATAAAAGAACAGCGTGGATGCATGTCTCTATAGGACTCTGTTACTTTCCCCCGGGAATGACGTACACTTTTTTTAAAAGCCACCAACTTTTATCAGATCAATAAGGCCCAATCAATAGCTTTCCTTTCCAAGGACGAGTGCTGGGTTTGTTATCTAGGCAGCTGGCAGCTAACAAGAGGCAGCTTCATATCTGTTTATTGTAAAGAAGGCGAAGCAAACTGCAGGCTGGGGACAGGCAGAGGGATGTTTACTGTCAATACGGCAGAAGAAAGAAAGGAAATATAAAGAGCAGAGGCTGTGGACTGCAACCCAAATGAATGATCTGAATGTAAAAATAGCTGTACAGATTCAGAAAGAAAGTGGGTGGATTGACCTCGACAACAGAGTGTTTCTCTGTGCTTTGAAAAGGTTTATAAATGATCTAGTTAAGAGTTAGAAAACAGGGAAGTGTGTGTGTGGCAATCAGAAAATAATGCTGGGCAACAGAGCTCTGAATCCCCAACAGAGTCGGAAAGGTGCTTTGAATTCAGCCCAAAGGCAAAGTGGTGTTTGAGATTTTTTTAAAGATAGATAGATAGATATGTTAGAATCACCATTTAAAAATAATAATAATAATTAATGATAAAACAGAGCTTGAAAAAAAGAATTGGACATGTTTTTTCCTAGTAAGTTGAAACACGCTGTAACACAGAACAGGAAAAGCAAGCAAACTTCCCAGCTTGTCTCCCCTCTTCTCCATCCACAGAGGAATTTGGTGTCTTGGGTTTACAAGACAAGGAAAGTTGCAGACGAAAAGCTGGAAGTGGTTTTGAAACACCCAGAACCAAGCAAAAGAAAAGATTAAATGTTGGAGCACAAGGAAGAACACCCTACCATGAAACCATTCACAGAAGAAGATGTGGAATTTTACATCCAGAATAAGGTATGTCTTTGTGTGTACGCCTCTTCTCTGTCTCCAAAAGAAGGGATGATCGTGAAAAGTTCAGAGTTCCAAGGCTGGGTGCTATCCTGCCTCTTGAGTCTTAGGACAAAATGAGGCTGAAGTATCATGATGATAAGATTTCTAGCAACATTTCCAATGCTTCCATTTCAGAATATTATCGAGGGGTTTTTTCCCACTTCAGAACTAGTTGGTGTTCTGGGCTCTTCAGAGAGTGTTTACAGTTGGAGTTGTTTGTGTTTAGACCTCGGAGAGATTCTATGGTCCATCTCTGTTCAGCCAGTGGCCCAAATTTGATAGCAATAGGGCAAAAATATGGCAATAAGGTTTGTCTCCAGGGAAGATAATGCATGTACCCAATAATTAGTGAGCGATGGATAATACTAGAACTGATCTAATCCTTTTCCTGAACCTTGCTTGGATGCTTATCTAAACAATCCATCTAACCTTCTTAAAAGAGCTAGGCAGGAACCGAGTTTCAATTTCATGGGAACTGCTCCATTTTTTTTCCGTTTGGAAAAGAAATAATACCAAAAATAATTGAAATTGCCTGCACAGTGAAATTTCTGGGGGAAAATATCATTTCAGGTCAATCAAAATGTTTTGTTCCAATTTCAACTTATATTTATTAAATACCAAAATTCAAGAAAAAGTTATTTTGAACAGAAAATTGAGGCTTGTGTTTTGAAAAGATGAAAATGTTTTGACCTTATCACAACTCCGTTAATTAAAACAAAAAACTAAATATGACTGAAATCAACAGTCTCTGTAAATATTTCACTTTTTTTTGGAGGGGGGGACAAATGGGTATTTTATAATGGAAAAATGTTCCATCAGAAATTTTCCAGCCAACTCTGCCAATTAGTCCTTCTCGATGTAAAGATTTCTGGTGCAGGGTGATGGGAGCCGGAGGGCACAGTTGTGCATAGTTTGTGGTAGTGTGCAGCCTCATCTGCAGCAGGAGAAAGAAACAAAAGTAGCATTAAATGGGGCCCACAGCCATCAGAATTTTAGAATCACAAAAAGTTTCCCATCCCTCTGAAAGACTCTCATTTCCAGTACCCTTCTAAGTGAGCAAAATAAGGTTACAGTTATTAATCATTATTAGGAATGTCACTTCACAGCCTGTTTCTTAAAACGTATAATCCTATAATGAACCAGCACAGATACCATGTAATAATGTATGCTTGTTAACATGACGTAAACCATTTTTTACAAGTCTCTATGAAATGTATGGATGCCTCAGTCCTAAGGCTCCTGCTATAACCCACTCCTGCAGCAAAGACAAAGTCCAAATATGTATTGCATGGAGATGGAGGGACAAATAAGATCCAGCCCAAAGGTGGTCCCAGATCCCAAACCAAATTCAGTTTTAATATTCAAAACATGCATGCACTGGTGCTCAGTTTTTAATATTTGCTTTGACACTCCCAAAGCTGGGATCTGAAAAGGGAAACACTTGTGTACAATGAAAGAGGCTTTTCAGCATGATGTCTATAAATGTGATGGGACGTGACAAACATCAGGGATCTCAGGGGAAAACCTCTTCTTCCAAGACTCCGTCCTGTTTCTGCAAATCTAAGAGATTCTAGTACCCGAGGTTCATATATTGTTAGATGTACTAACTGACACTGGCGAGTTTTTAGACACAGTATTCTAATGAATGAGTGAATCGGTGCCAACTTCCACTGAGGAAGGTGGAGGTGATTGGGAGGTCAGAGGAGGTGATTGGGAGTAGACCTGGCTTTTATTCTTGCCTCTGCCAATGACTTACTTTATGGCTTAAGGCAAGTCACTTCCCCTCAGTGTGTTGCAACTTCACATCTGCAAATAATTTGGTTGGGATTTTGGCTGCAGGTTCTGGTTGGTTTCATTGTCTCCCAATTAGTTGTGCTAGTGCTGGCTATTTGTGCTGGTGTTGCTTTCTTCCTCTCAGCCTCTATCTTCATCATATAAGTTCAGGCACTGGGATGAAAGGAAGAACAGCAAACAGTCCTCACCCATCATCCTGCAAAGTAGTCCCTTGATGGAGAAGTAATTAGGCATGTGTAAATTAATCTGCTTAGCCTCAAAGGTTTGGTTTGGATAAGCCTGCATATTGACAAATGTGTGAGGATAAGGTGTGGAATATGTTGGTGTCCTTCCCTCAGCATGATCCACATATGTTCCATTATACCCTAAATAATTGATTCTTGCCTGGGTCTTGTATCATCTTTGTATGAGCCTTGCACTTGTGCTTGTGTGGGAAGCTTCAGGTTGGTTTTTATTTATCTGGTTTGCCTATCCTGCACCTCAGTTTATTATCCACCTCCTCCGTTGCACTGCAATGCATGACGGTCAATATTTTGGCTGATATTGCTTGACTTGGAGGGAGGGAGAGCAAGGCATACACTTCCCGTGAAAACTAGCAGGTTTAAAAGAAAAGGAAGTTTTTCTTCACTCAGCACACAATCAACCTGTGGAACTCCTTGCCAGAGGATGTTGTGAAAACTAGGATTTTAACAGGGTTCAAAAAAGAGCTACATACATTTATTGAGGTTAGGTCCATCAATGACTATTAGCCAGGACGAGTAGGAACAGTGGCCCTAACCCCTGTTGGTCTGGAAATAGATGACAGGAGAGGGATCACGTGATGTTTACCTGCTGTGTTCACTCCCACTGGGGCATCTGACATTGGCCACTGTCAGCAGACAGGATACTGGGCTAGATGGACCTTAGGTCTGACCTAGTATGACCATTCTTATATTCTTATGTACCACTGAGATCAGCAAAAGGGAGGAAGTTCAGCACCCTTTCGGAATGGAATTATTCCAATACTTCACACTTACCGTGCCACTGAGCCAAATTCAGGCCAGTCAGCTGAGCTGCATCAGCCTATTCCAGGAATGAATTTGAGTCAGTGTTTTCTGTCACAGCACCCATGGGCTTGACCCAGCAGGGAATCCCTGAGCCACACAAGCTCCTGGGAGACTGCAGCTGCTCGATCAGTGACTGGCTAGCCTACACAAAGGAAAAGCTGGGTAGACATGAGCCAAAACTAAAATGGGCCAAACAATGAGAGTATTACAGGCTGATTACAGATTCCAGGCTAATGAATTCTCTACCTCCCGTCCATGCTGTAGACACTCCTGAACCTCCTGCTTTAGAGCCTCCTGTCTCAGGTCCATTATCACCAGCTGGAGTAAGCTGGCAATTGTCAAGAGAACTCTAAATACATATTGCCCAAAGTTCTGTAGACACACACATTTCAAGGTGCCTACGTTCAGGTGATTCTTGACTGGCGATAGAGATTGTTTGCAGCCAGCCATGATGTGAAGTGACTTGCTTGATGTCGACAGGTGGAACAGCGACACCTCCTGGTGTCTAAAACAGTGGACGAGGTGCAGAAGATCATCCAACAACTGACTGCCGAAATCAGCTACAGGGACACACGATTTCAGGCCATCTCCAACTCTGGCATTCACAACGAGAATTTTAGGGTAAGGTTCAGTGTACCATCTGGTGACCTGCACGCAATGAGTTGGTGTTCACTCCTGTTCGTATTGGGCAGGTGTCCAGATCCTAAAAACAAACAGCATAGTTGGTGCATTGTCCTCTTTACTGGCAGTCCCAGCAGAGGTCAAGGTCTCAAGGGAGCATGGAGACAGAATTCCCTTGTTACAGCTGGAGGAGGATCTGGCAGAGTAAGGCAAGATTAGGGAACTGGATAAATTGCTTTGCTACTGCTGCTGTGTGTAATGTGGGTAAGCAAAGAATCTGTCACCACGCCAAGTTTAAGAGATTTTACTCATAGGCTGGAATGGTTATTTCATGTGGCTCTTTAAGACAAAAATGAATTAGTTTAATAATGAAAAAATAATAAATGTGAATAGACCCTTTTGTCTGAGTGCATTATGTTACTGTAGTTATGCATGATAGACCCATTACTGAAACGCAGCCACTTCTAGGGTGGAACAAAGAAATTGAGTAAAAGCACAAAGCAACCTTGGCAATAGGTTGGAGCAAGAAGTGGCAAAGAATAGTTTATAGGCTTGAAGTATCAGTGGGCATGTGGGAAAGCAGAACGTTATAACCCGAGTTGAAATGTGGCTATGATCTTGGTCTTAGTCATTCTTAGGTTATTTTTGAATATGACATCTCCAGAAGCATGGTACACCATGGCCACAGTATTGCACCACAGAGAGGAGTGCCACAATCCGAACCACAAACACCATTTGGTGCAACATTCAGCAGAACTGTACTGCCTGAGACAATTCTGCTGAGGCTGCGAGATACAAGATCACAGTCCCAGACAGCATGGTTGTTGAGGCCTGCAAAAAAATCATAGAATCATAGGACTGGAAGGGACCTCGAGAGGTCATCGAGTCCAGCCTCCCGCCCTCAAGGCAGGACCAAGCTCCGTCTACACCATCCCTGACAGATGTCTATCTAACCTGTTCTTAAATATCTCCAGAGAGGGAGATTCCACCACCTCCCTTGGCAATTTATTCCAATATTTGACCACCCTGACAGTTAGGAATTTTTTCCTAATGTCCAATCTAAACCTCCCCTGCTGCACTTTAAGCCCATTACTCCATGTCCTGTCCTCAGAAACCAAGAGGAACAAATTTTCACCTTCCTCCTTGTGACACCCTTTTAGATATTTGAAAACCACTATCATGTCCCCCCTTAATCTTCTTTTTTCCAAACTAAACAAGCCCAGTTCATGAAGCCTGGCTTCATAAAGATAACCTTTTTTGGGAGAGTAATCAGGAATCGCATCAGGAATAGGTAAACTTGATCTGATCAATCTCTGCCCCAGTGAGACCCTGAAAACTTAATTATCTATAAAGTAGCCAGAGTATTGTCCATATTTAACTAAATCCAGTGCTAAAAATCTGTATGGTATAGTCAAGTTAGGGGGAACATATCTGATTGTTAACTATACTGCGTAAGAATGGAATCGTCAAAGATGTTTTTAAAGGAGATTACAGTTAGCTTAGGGTACTAGTTACTCCTACGTCCAAAACAAAGTCCATACAGTTATTGTTGTGACTGCCTGTGGGAAAGTAATATGGTTGAAAAGACATCAGAGTATGTACCAATCTGTGTTTGATGCTGGGAATCGACAATGGGATGGATCACACAATGTTTGCCTGTTCTATGCATTCCCTTTGAAGTACCTGCCACTAGCCACTGCTAAAAGACAGGATTTTGGGCTAGATCAGATGGACCTAGATTTTGGGCTAGATCAGTCTGCCCTCATATGGCTGTTTTTATGTTCCTTGCAGTAGAATTTTTGGGGTGTTGCCTTTGGGAACAGGATTCATTTAATATCAGATGATCCCTGTTATTGGGAAGAACCAGACATCCATGACATACTTTAAGCATTCCTAACTATGTTCTTCCAGAAGTAGAGCTGGGCAAAAAATAGTCTTGGGAAGATTTTTTTCAGATTCCGCATCCTGAATCAGGACAAAAAGTTAACAGCTTGAAAATATTCACAAACTAAAAATTTGGGGGGGAGGGGAATGGTTTAGGTCAACTGAAACATTTTGGCTACGTCTACATTGGCACCCCTTTCCGGAAAAGGGATGCTAATGTAGACTTCGGAATTGCAAATTCCGCGGGGGATTTAAATATCCCCCGTGGCATTTGCATTTACATGGCTGCCGCTTTTTTCCGGCTTGGGGATAAGCCGGAGAAATGCGCCAATCTAGACGTGATTCTCCGGAAAATAAGCCCTACTTTCAAGTAGGAATAAGAAATCCTCCGGAAAAGGGCTTATTTTCCGGAGAATCATGTCTAGACTGGCGCTTTTCTCCGGCTTATCCCCAAGCCGGAAAAAAGCGGCAGCCATGTAAATGCAAATGCCGCGGGGGATATTTAAATCCCCCGCGGAATTTGCAATTCTGAAGTCTACATTAGCATCCCTTTTCCGGAAAGGGGTGCCAATGTAGACACAGCCTTTGTTTTTAACCTTTTTATTTAAAAAAGCTCTATTTTAAATATATAGTCATTTAAACTAGGAAATGAAAAATCATGTGGCGCCCCCAAAATGACATTTTATATTTTGAAAATATCAAAGAGGATGTTTTTGACAATTTCAAACTTTTTCAAAACAATTTCAAAAAGAGGAATTTGCTGAAACTGCCTCTTTCACTTCATGAAAAGTTTTCATTTCAACACATTGGCAGTTTTTTATAGAAAAACATTATATTGAAGGATTCCTGATCCACTCCACCCAGAAAATATTCAGTGCAAGTATGTCAAAAGTTCTTGGCAAAGAAAATCTCATCTGCTCCTAGTAGCCATTGCAGACATGGTTTATTCTTCAGAAAAGGGCCTTTTTTCATCTCCCTGCCCAGTATTTGCACTGTTCATTTCCTGTGCCCGCCAGTGGGAATTCTTCAAAGATATCAGCTATAAAAGGTTCAAGAATGTGAATTTACTACAGGTTATAATTTCAGAAAATAGCACTCAAGTGGCTATATCTGTGCAGGTGGTAGATTACACAGGAAGAGATTAAATAAAACCTCAAGCCTTTCACATTTAAGGTATGACTAGACTACATCTTTTTTTCGGAAAAAGCTACACAAAATGGAGTCTGAATTTTGCGTAGCTTTTTCCAATTCTTTTGTCAGAAGAGGCTTTTCTGACATTTGGCCCATCTAGACTGGGCCAGATGTCAGAAAAAAAACCCCTCTTTCGGAAGCCCCCTACTTCCTCATAGAACGAGGAATACAGGGGCTTCCGAAAGAATGCATTTGTACTTCCACCAAAAAAGCGGAAGTGCAGATGTGTTCTCTGGACGTGGCAGAGTTTTTTTGGGATAACTCTGGTATCCCGAAACCCCCCGCAGTCTAACTGTACCCATAGTCTCAGAGGGGTAGCCATGTTAATCTATGTCTGCCAAAACTACAAAGATTCCTGTGGCATCTCAGGCCTGGTTTACACTAAAGGGAAAAGTTGATTTAAGATGCGCAACTCCAGCTACGTTAATTATGTAGCTGAAGTCGATGTATCCTAAATTATGTTTTTTCTCCATTCACATAGGAGGAGATTGATGGGAGCAAATGCTCCCATTGACTTCCCATACTACTTGCGAGGAGCAGGACTACCAACGGTGACAGAGAAGCCCTCTCAGTTCGAATTAGCAGGTCTTTATTAGACCCGTTAAATTGAATGCTAGAAGATCGACCTCCAGAGGTTCAATCCTCTCTGTAGTGTAGACAAGCCCTCAGAGATGAACTGATTTATTAGGGCATAAGCTTTTGTGGGTAAAACACACTTCATCAGATTAATTGGAGTGGAAGTTCTAGAGCCAGGGGTACATATAAGGAAGAAGCTGCTTGTGTTAATGAAGCTAATCAAGTCAGGGTGGAAGTGGGTCATTCATAGGATTTGGGGTAGAGATGTGAAGGACCAAAGAAGGGAAATTGACTTTGTAATGCGTTAACCAGTTAAGATCCTTATGCAATCCTAAATTGATAATGTTGAATTTGCAAATGAACTCCAGTTCAACTGTCTCCCTTTGTAACCAGATTTTGAAATTCTTTTGTAGAAGGAACTTTCAAATCCATTACTGAGGGTATGTCTACACAGCAGGGCAAAAATCAAATTAAGATACACAACTTCAGCTACATCAATTGTGTAGCTGAAATCGAAATAACTCAGCTTTTGGTGCTGTCTACATAGCAGGAAGTCAAAGAAAGAACACTCTTCCCTTACTCCTCGTGAAATCAGGGTTACAAGAGTTGGAGTAAGAAGTCCTCCAGCTTGACATTATTTCGAAATTACAGGCTTGCTGTGTAAACGCGCATTTTGATATTTCAAAATAACGTCAGTTATTCTGAAATAACGTTGCTGTGTAGATGTACCCTGACTGTCCAGGGGGGTTAAAGTGTTCCCCTACAGGTTTACCTGAAGCAAATACTCACCAGCAGCCACACAAAGCACCACAGAAACACTTACCCAGGAACGTATCCCTGCAAGAAACCCTGTTGCCAACTCTCCACACATCTAAATAAGTGACACCGTCCCAGGACCTAACCACAGAAGCCACCACATGAGGGCTCATCCACCTGCACATCC